GGCTGCCATGCTTGGAGGACGCCCAGGCCATATAGTGAGGCTGTACATTTGTGCTCAGAGAGATGACTCTAGCCAAGCTCAGCCTTCAAATTGTTTTCCAGGTACATTGAAATACAATTAGGAAAAGAAGCCATTCTGAGGTGGCTCCAATCCTTCCTGTTCCAAGTTCCAGGCATCATGCCATAGAGATACATCATTCCTATTCCACACTTCATACATTCTTGACCTACGATTCATGAACATAATAAAATAGTATTTAATAACACTAAGTTGTGTTAGCTGGTTCATAATGTAGACTTCCAGAACCAGGGTAAGATAGAGCTAGATAAAAATAGCAATCATCTTTGGGAGGGAAGTTAAGTTTTGAATGTTTTTTCCCCCTCTTTGTCTACTGAAGAAAGCGTGTTAGACATATGAACACTGTTTTGCCAGACTCATCTTGGAAGCTAGTGCCTATCCTGGTTAAAACACTAGATTCCTGACTCTCATTAAGTGCCAAGTGTTGTCACTCCAATGAGCTACTTGCGATTTCATGCCTAGAATTCTAGGATCTTGGTATATTTCTAGGTTGATCACCTGAAAAGGCTGGCAGTTGGATCTGCACTGACAGTCCCTCCTACCCCACCCCATTTATTTTTGTTGTGTTTAGTACTGAGAATGGTGTAACTAGAACAGCAGCCAGAGATGAGCATTTCAGAGTCAGTTGCCTGTTAAATCAGCATTATTATCAGGCTAGAAGGCATTGTGCTTCTGTCCTTACCTCACCCCCACAAGATAAGAGAAGGTTTAGAGAAGGGGAAGAGGATGAATCCAGGACCTCAGGCTGGGATGTAGGCTCCTGATTTGTGATTCTTGGTGCAGTGCTCCTTTCCCACAATGAATGAGTTTTAGCTCAAAATCTGGTTCGAAGCGAAAATTATGAGCCAGGTCCCATAGAACAGCGAGGCACTGCACACTGGTATGTGTGTGCATCTACTCTAAGAGAGAAACCACACTTATTTTATTTGGTTCTTTTAGAGATCTTTGACCCAGAAAAGTCTTGAGTTGAAGTGCACTTAAGATAAACTTTGTACTCCCTCATGCCTGCTGAGAACATTAAATTCTCCTAGGGAAAGCCATTTGATGTTTCAGATGCATGGTGGGTGCATCTTACGGATGGCTAGGGATAGTTATGAGCATCTGGGGAGGAACTCATCTATTGTCTGTTTGGGAAAACTTGGGCACATAATCCCATACTGACATCTCTGCAGCAATTCATGAGCAGCAAACAGCACAGGACTGATAAGGTGTTCTTTTCTCTGCAGCCATTGTAGGAGCTAAAGCAGAGAGCTGGAGTTTCTCCAGATAAAGCCTGCAAGCTTCAAGGCTCAACTTCACAGGAGTGTCTTGTTCATTTACTCTCTCTTCCTCTATAGACATTCAGACTTTTCAAACTTCCCATGCTTCAGGGACCCAGCCTTCTTTTGGATTAAGGCCTCGCTATCTTCTTGTGTCTAGGAGTCCTTCAGCTCTAAATTAGCAGATAGAAGGGAAGGAGACCTAGGAGTAGCTGAGAAATTTCTCTGGGAGGTGATTTCTTATTGTTGTCTAAGTTCCATTGGCTAAGAAGCTCAGTTTAGATACAAGGGTGTTGATGGAGGGTGCTTGCTAACAATTCCACACTGTGGAAGAGGAGCCCAAATCTTTAGGGGTCACTGGTCCTTTCTGATGAGGCTCAGTGAGAATTGCCAGATTCTTAGAGATGAATGAAACACTAAAGTGACTCCTTGGGACTGTCCGTATACTCTGCACACAGGTTATTATAGTCCCTTACCTGACACCTGGAGATCAAAGTGATCTTTACAAACTGAAGGCATGATTGACAGAGTACCCTGAAGGTAAGAGTTACAATTTCCATCCAGGAGGTGGTAGTACACACCTTTAGTTCCAGCAATTGGGAGGCAGAGGCAGGCAGATCTCTGTGAATTTGAGGCCAGCCTGGTCTACAGAGCAAGTTCCAGGAGAATCACAACCCCCAGGTACCAGGGGGCCTATTTTCTTAGGGAGTGACATAATAGGTGAAGTCCAGTCTGGATTTTGAGCTAGTTTTTATTGCGTCAGAGATAGTATGAGGATTAGAAAGAGAACCATTTCTACTTTTGGAAGATAATTGCACAAGTTTACCATTTTTGCATGTTTATCCTAATGTTTTCATGTTTTGCAGAAACTAGAGCAGCACATACCTTTAACCTTTGTTTTTTATGTTAATTCCAATCATTAGTTGTTTCTTGATTATTTTGACCTCTTTTATATAAACTTAAGCTATTTCTTCAAGTTATCTTCTGATTTTTATTCTAGGATAGGATTGATTATGGTATGAAACTATCATTTCTTTGCTTTCCCTCTTTTAAAAAGGTGTGTCTTGCTGTGTAGACCAGGCCGCCTCAGTCTACAGTGTGTGGGGATTACAGGTGTGCACTGCACCTTGCTTGGACATTTGTCTTTCATTAAAGATTATTATTTTTAATTAATTTTATTTTATGTGTATGGATGTTTTGCCTGTATGTATGTCTATGCACCATTTGTATGTAGTGCTAACAGAGGCCAGAAGAGGGCATTGGGTTGTTAGCTGAGCATTGAAATTGGTTCTTCTGGCTAGTATTACAATTAAATATTAAGTAACTATTAAGTAACTTGTGATAACCTGATAACCCCATCATTTTCCATTAGGTCATTACATTTTTTTTTCAGTTTCTGTTTCTTAGAAAATGCTATACAATGGGGTCCTACTTTACACGTCCCGTTTTCCACTCTAAGACAAAACACTTGACACCAGATACTCTTTAAGACAAGTGATGCATTGAACTTATAGCTCTGAGTTCATAGTCCATACAGCATGGTGTGGGTTCTAGGAGGCTCCTGCCTCCATCGTGTCTTGAAGAAAGGGCTCATGGCGAATGGGCATGTGAGAGGGTGCACAAGGTCAGGTGCAGGACAGAGTGCTTGAGGGATGGGCTTACTCTGGTAACATCCTCTTATGAAAGGATACCAAGGTCCCATGAGGAATACCTACTCCCATCTGAGGGCAGTTTCCTTAGTCTTCAATGAGTCCCATTCAGCTTACATGTTCTGTTACCTCTCAACCGCCACACTTGGAACCAAGATTCTAAGGCAAGTTTGGGGATCCAGTTAAACACCATCTCAACCCCAGCACTTCCCAACTCCCCACTAAGTGAGATCATTTAGGTGACCTGAAGTGGCCCATGGTAGGTGCTGGTGCTGACATGTTTGCTTGAAGCACCTTGGGTTCTCTTTCTAGGTCATCTTCCTCATTTGGTAGTGCCAAGACATTCAAGAAACAAGTAGTACCAGGGACAATAGATGCGAAATAGAGGGCAGCTGTTTACAAGGCCTGTCTTTCAAAGACTTCTGTCACCTCCAGGGAGCTAAACAATGCCCACATTACCCAATCCCTTCAGCCACAAGCCTCTAGAAGGATAAAGATCTATGTTTCTCTTTTCATGTAATAGGATCAGTAGTTTGAGACTCTATTCCTTCCAGGGATGTGTTACCAGCAGAAAAGTGTCAGCTGAGATGAGAGCATCTTAAAGAATTGGGGAAAGTTGTAAAATCAGAGTTTGAGAAACAGTATTCCATAAGATTGCTGATTTATGTTGCTTGGAATGGGGAGGGTGGAATGTGATCCTCAGAACTCCAAGCTGAGGTTGGGTGTGGTACGTCCCCAGTTGATGGTCAGGATCTCTTGGTCACTGGCATAAAAGGTTGCCAAAAGAGGATACTCATTAGTTATCTGCTCATCTGCCTTGTCCTGGATAGGACTGTCTTTTAGTGCAGAATGTGGTTTTTACATCAGTGTCTCCTATCTTTATGGAATGGTGGTAACATTAGGTAGAAGTGATGGAAAGTAGTTTTAAATGCCCTCCTGGGCAAAGCTAGATATTAACCACATTGTCTATTCTCAGTTTTTATATTAATGTTTATGGTCCAGTGGTTCAAAAGCCTAGCAGTATGCCATATTGATTATCAATTGGCTTTTCTGGAAGCCAATCTTAATGGAATCTCCAAAAATGACCTATAGCAGCAGCCTGTATATGTGAGTTCTGTATGTACCCCCCTGGTAATGACTTTCACAAAACTGCTATTTGTGAAGAAAATCAAAGCATGACATGAAGAAACTTTGTGTTTTTTCTTCTTCTAAGATCACTTTTCAAAGTCTTGGCAAATGTTTCTTTAGAGGGAAGGCATGTGGGCAGGGCAACCTTTGAGCTCCAAATCATAATGATGCTGTTTGCTCTGTAGCTAAGGGAACCTCAGCCAGTCTTCCAGGAGTTCTTGGGTATACGTCTGTCTTTGACCAGTTTTGTCTCTCCTTTGACATAGTTGGTTTTAATGCCAGTTTTAATTTCTTGGCATCATGATCTGTAAGCATATCACCCACAGATGTGATTTTGAACAAGAACCAAAAGTGTAAATTCAGAAGTGAGAGATTCACAGGGACTCATCAGACCACTCCAAAAAGTGTCACAGTTGTACTGAAATGGCTTTAAATTGCTCACTGCAAACCTGCCTCAGTTTCAGAATGCCATGCGAGGAAACGAGTGGCAGATTTGCAGCCACGTTAGTCATTTTCTTTCTTGTATCTCCTTGCTGTGTCTGTGCTGGGAGCACAGAGTAATATAATTTAGTAAATTATGATCTGAAGGCTGGGCACCAGCCCGTGTTGAACAGTGTTTGGACTATGATTACTTTCTGGCTTTGTCACAGTTGACATTAATTATTGATGGAAGTTTCAGAAATAGCGCATGTGCCAGGAGCGTTTCACCGGAACACGGCTGCAGGCAGGAGGGATGCTGAAGACTGTGGGGGAAGAGGCACCTGTGGCCTGTTTATGGCTGCATGCAGGGAAGCTGGACCTGGTGGGCTGTGTGGTCGCTGTGTAAAGCTCATGGTATAACAGAAGGATGAACCGTCAGGCTTATTTCTATCGTGTTCCTCCCCAGGAACTGCACCGAAGAAGCCAACTTCAGCCGGAGCCAGCCAAGACGAAGGCTCTCCAGACTGTCATCGAAATGAAGGTAGGAACTAAGCACGCTTGTCAAAACCAGCTGTGCCCGGGAGTTTGTTGTGATGGGACGGTGCCCGACAAACATGTGTAGAGTCCAGTGCTTTCCTCTAGACACCATGGAGGGTGCTCCGTTTCTGGCTTGTTTTGCCGTTCTTAGTGCATTTCATTTATTGGCCTTTTAATTAAAGAGCTTTTCCAAGCCAAAGAATAAAGGGCTCAAGTAGCCCATGTTTAAAGGAGCTGGGCTCCTTCCCAGACTGTCACCAATGCCTTAAAAGCACTCATTTGTTTGGGCATTACAAATGTTTACTTCTAAATCAAGCACCCCTCCCCCATTATAATGAACAGACACCTCTGAGAAACTAGGACTTGAAGTGGTGATGCATTGGAGTCATTAAATCAGAAAGCTCTATTGTCCCCAGTATTCACTTTCCAAAGAATGATACTTTCTTTTAACTCCAGTCTTTTCTTCTTAGCCAGTCTGGAAGTGGGGATAATTTATTAAATGCTTGCAAAGTATAGAAGTACTAATGAGAGTGATAGAGAGAAACTATTTCAAGGAATAAAGAAGTAAAATCCTTCTGACTGAGTTTAGAGCATGTGAAGAATAATCAAGTCAGTGGTGACAGACACATCCTGGTCTCTGATCAGGAAGCAAATGTAAATGAAATATGTTTGGTTTGCCGGTGTCTAGACATTTGAACTCTTCTATATCAAATTTTCTTTTCTTGTTTTTGCCAGAAGGAAACAAATGGTAAAATTATTTATTTTAAGAATGAATAACTTTATTTAAATTGTTCTATTAAGGAGAAAATGTTTTCAGCATGAATATATCTGCAGTCTGCAGATTCCATACCTGAGTTCACCTCAGATTCCCAGACCCCATTGTCCTGTGAGAATCTTGAAGCTTGCTCACAGATTGCTGACTTTCATGTCTCACATCACATGATCTCAAATTGTCTGTCAGGCGTTCCCAGGCCATAGAGAAAAACTAATGTGAACTGTTGAATTCTTGGCATGTACAGTTGTGGCGAGATTTTTTTTTAACTAGTCAGTGACAGTATTTTTACCTGAGGACTTCGTTTGGGACAACATCTCCAGGCCAATTACAGGTATCAGGGCATTCAGGAGACACTTGGGCAGGTTGGTTTGAAAAGTATCATTGGGATGAAATATTAGTAAGATTGAACAGTAAGGATTAATACTAGCTTGTGGGCTGTGGTTGTTAATTCATATTACTTCATTCTCTACTTAGAAGGAAGTGGTTTATCACTGGCATTTCTACTTCTCATTGCAACCATAACTGAAATTAGATTGAAGGGGAAAGAAAAAAATTTAAAACTCAAAAACTAAAACTTACAACAGAAACGTGAATCCTCCCCCCACACACAGGAGAGAGAGACACACACAAAGAGAGACACAGAGAGAGAGAGGCAGAGAGAGAGAGAGAGAATCAGAGAGATCAGGAGAGAAATGAGCTGATTTTATTTTATAAGTGTGACTCTTCCTCCCTTCTTTCTACCTTTGCATCGACTGCCTCTGTGTTCACAAAAAATGTAATAAAAAGAGGATGCATATAATCTATTTCCAATTCTTTAAAGAAAAGGAGAGTTCTAGAGCTCCCTTGAGAGGCACCTTGCCTCCTATGGTAGGTGTTCTCTTGTTAAATGTCTTCATTTAAAGACAACTACTTTTTGGTGACTGTTTAAAGTAAAAATTCTGTTTTATTCTGTTTACTATTCTAGCTCCATATTTTATTATATGAGAAAAAGTGAGTAAAGAACATTCATTTAGTGAGCTAGCTTGGGAGGCATAAAATATAAGAGCAAAATTAACATAAGCATATTCTCAGTTAAGTGAACCTCAAGTTTTCATTTATGGATGCTGGTGATGCTGAGCATAGGTATAGAACCATATTTTTAGGACAAATGAAGATTAATATATGTCTCAGGAATCAGAGCCCAAGTTCTGCTGTCCTTTTGGTGCCTCCCAGCTCACATAAGTTTTATCTTGTATTTTATTCATGGTCCCATTAGCATCTAGACTGCAGATACCTAGATTGAGTTATGGAGGCCCTTGGTGCAGGGTCATCTCCTATAACACATGCAGACTTGTGACAGAGACTCTGATCTCATCCAATTTTGTGCATTAGAAATTAGAGAGTGCTGGGAACCCAGACAGGATAAGCCTTAGAGGGGAATGTTGGAAACCCAGACAGGACAAACCTTATAGGGCACCACTGAATAGAACTTAAACTCAGAGCTTGGAGTTTTAGATTGTGGTTTGTCTTGGATTTGGTTGAACACTGTCATTGTTATCTAGTGCCTTGCCAAATCTAAAGTTAGAAAGAGATATTTTTTTTTAGAAGATGTCTCATGTCCTATGTATCTCAAGCTGGCTTCAATTTACTATGTAGTCAAGGGAGACCAAATTTTCTATATAGTCAAGGGTTACCAGGAACTCCGGAACCTCTTATCTTTCCTTCCCAAATGCCAGGATTACATATGCCACCACATCCTATTCAGAAAGACAGAACAGGCTCTCTTAAAGTATCCCCTAGTTTCAGGAAGATAGCATGAATTGGAGCTGACAGATTATCCCTTACTTGCCTTTTGTTACTTAGGGAAACTGAGGGTGAGGTTCTGAACCCCATTTGTTTCCACAGACATTTGCATCAACTCCCCAAAGGGGCTTGGATGTGAAGGTCTGCAAAGTCCTTCTTATCTCAGGCTCTTTTTGAGCTCCATTCCTGTGCTCTCTGAGAGCTCTGTGTGCCCCATGGACTGGCTGATTTGTGTGAAAGTCTCTGCAAGGTTAGCCTTGGAGAAGGCCATCTGCATTCCAGTAGGGGACAGTCCTTAGTACACACACCTCCCACCAAGTCTCCTGAGTGAAACCAAGAGGAAGAAAAGAAAACAAAGCCACTGATGATTTCTCTTCTTGCAGGAATCTCAAAGTTTTAAATTTGGCCCTTTTTTGGTCTGGCAGGTATGTCCCACATTGCACATAGAAAACTGTGTGGGTCTCTGACAAGTTCCTTTCTTGTGGAGTGCCTGAGGCCCCCTTTCTGATTCTCCCACTAACAACCTTTCTGCTCTTCTGGAGAACAGCCTACAGCCACAACTAAAAGGCTGGGGTTTCATTTTTCTCTCTTTAATGCTAATGCCTTTGGAAGAATATGTTCTTTCTTGGGGTGGGGGAGGGGGATTCGAGGCAGGGTTTCTCTGTAGCTTCGGAGGCTGTCCTGGAACTAGCTCTTGTAGAGCAGGCTGGTCTAAACTCACAGAGATCTTCATGCCTCTGCCTCCCGAGTGCTGGGATTAGAGGTGTGTGCCACCACTGCCCGGTGAAAGAATATGTTCTTAACCTGTCTTTATTACAAATCTGGCATGATCATTCTGCCTGAAGTTTTCATTTTCTTGAGTTTATTGATCAACTTTATACATTTTTTTGAATGTGAAAAGAAAATGAAGTATGTGAATGGTAGTATTTGTCAGCTAGTTTGAAAACTTTTCTTGTTTGAACTTGTAAGTCAGTGAGAGTCTAATTCAAAGCTGTTGAAGTCACAGAGAAACTGATTGGCCCATTTAACTGAAAAACAAAACAACAGTAACAATGACAAAACCAAACCAAAACAGCATGATCCAGGGGCTCAAGAAATACCAGCACATGCCTTTTTGTCTCATTCTGTCTCTTGTTTTGTCCTTCATGAGACCCGTTTTCAGACAGCTTTTCCCTGCCTGTCTGAGGAAGATGGCTGCAACAGCCCCAAAATTCATTAGAAGGCAGGGAAGGAAGGAAATTAGGCTTTTGTTTGTTTATTTTATTTGTTAATACAGAGATTCAAGCAGTGCTGGAGAAATGATGATTACTGAGATAGGATATAAAACTTTGTGTCCAACTGTCCCAAAGATGAATGAAATAAACCCAAATAAGGTCAAGAGTCCAAAAACACTTGCTGGCTGTCTCACAGTACCCCTGACTCGATCCCAGGACTGAGGTCAGTTCATGGTGGTTATTGGCTGTGGTCAAACCAGGTCTGGATTCAAATGTTCTCCTACACCCTGTCAGCCAAATGAACTAAATTTGATCAAATGTTAAGATTACTCTTAGGGGAATGCAAGCCCATCTGCAGGACAGCATCACTGGTCTGGGCACAAAGACAAAGTACAATGCTCAGTCTCAGAAATAAAAGTCAGTTTCTATCCTGAGTCACAGCTGAATGCAGGCATGCCCATCTGTGAGACATGGGAAGTTTCCTGAATTTTTTTCTCTCAATATAGGGTTTCTATGTGTAGCCTTGGCTGTCCTAAAACTCCCTCTATAGACCAGGCTGTCCTTGAACTCAGAGATCTTCCTGCCTCTGCCTCCCAGTGCTGGGACTGAAGGCATGCACTACCTGGCCACCTGGCTGCAAAGCAAAAGGCCAATGCTCCAACAGAAAGCCCATCCTTTGGTGATATCATACCCCTGGCTTCTTAATCATGTGTGATTAACAAGCTCCCCAGATCCAGTATGATTTCTGAAATATTTACTAAAGCTCTTGCATCATTCAGGGATATCCATTTGATAACCTCTGCTGAAGAATATGACCCACCACAGTTGCGATTCTGTGGTAAAGCACTTGTCAGCATGTGTGACACTCTGCTTTGATCCCCAGTGTTGTATGAAAGTAAAGCAAATGCACATCAAAAAACCAAACATGTCCCTGTTCTTTTTATGGGCAATAAACAAAGGCAATAAAAACAGTAATATCACTAAGTAAAGTGCCTCCTATGCCAAGAGCGAAGTCTACTCCCATATATAGAAGTTAGGTAGTCACAGCAAACCTGGGAATACACACAGTGATCCCAATCCAGATGATAAAGCTATGGTTTAGAGAAAATAAGCAATTGGCTCAAGATCCTACAGCTAGCTGGTTGGCAGCTAAGAGTTAGACAAATACTCTCCCAGTCACACAGTGTTCACTGAGCACCTGTTTTGTGCCTTCTGCTCTACAGTTTTGCTAGC